CTTTGCCTCAGTCTTCACGGGTGGCCAGGCTTTCCGTGTCTGCCAGGACCATGAGTCTGTAGGTGAGAGTGTGGGGAGTAGTTTCTGTTCCATTGTAACAGTTGAACAAGTCTGAGTCCTCCTCATGAAATTGAACATGTATAAGTCCACATGGCTAGGATGATATCTGTCCTAGGGTTCAGAAAGAGATGGCTGATGTGGTTGCAGAGCTGCTCTCCATCGTATTTGAAATATCATGGCTGTCTGGTGAGGTCCCCAGTGACTGGAAAAAGGGAAATGTTACTCCCACTTTTAAGAAAGGGAGAAAGGAAGACCCGGGGAAATACAGCCAGTGCACCTCACCTCTGTGCCTGGGAAGATCATGGAACAGATCCTCCTAGAAGCTATGCTAAGGCACATACGAGTCAAAGAGGTGATTTGAGACAGCCAGCATGGCTTCACCAAGGGCAGATCTTGCCTGACCAATCTGGTGGCACGATGTGATGGAGTGATGGCTTCAGTGGACGGGGGAAGGGCAATGGATGTTATCAACCTGAATTCTGCAAAGCCTTTGACATGGTCCCTCACCACATCCTTTTCTCTAAATTGGCGAGGTGCAGATTTGAAGGATGGACTGTTCAGTGGATGAGGAATTGGCTGGCTGGACACAGCCAAAGGATTGTGATCAATGGTTCTATGTCAGGGTGGAGGCCAGTCACAAGCGGTGTCCCTCAGGGGTCAGTCTTGGGACCGTGCTCTTCAACATTTTCACTCGCCACTGTTTCTCTTCTAATGCTCAAAACATACTGGGCATTAATTAAGTTTGCCACTTTGCTCTATGGAGCAATAGGTATATACAGTCGATTGAAAACACTGATGAAAATATGTACTTGGTATCTTCATACAGTGTGGCATACAACTCCAGAGGGAGCTGCTAATTTTACAGGACTGGGGATTTTTAAGCAGCTTTCCAGTCTCTCCTCTGAATCCTTTATGCTCACCTGCTTGCATTGTTAATCTCCCTGAATGTATTGCTCATAATTTCAACGATCATGCATCGCGATGTGTCTGATCTCTGTAATAGGAAAGGCTCACCCTTTATTTAACCCAGTCAGTGGTTCACACCATGGAAGGGTGGAGTGTATGGGAACTGTTGATCACTGCCTGGACCTCTGATTGACCACCTGAGGCAAACAATGATTCAGCCACAGGAGCACAGGTGAAGGCAATTCACATGTGTACCAGAAGGGGTGGAGCCTGGCTCCACCTCTCCTAGATCCTGTTTAAGTGCTGACTGCCACTGAGGAAAGATCTCTTTCTGGAGATCGCTCCTTGTGGAGTTTATTGCAAGTTTATAACGCTGATGAGCATTTCCATGTTATCTTTCCACCACAATAATCCTACTTAGCCTAACTTCTGTACACCTACTGATTGTACAATATGTCACAAATTTTATTTACTCAAGAGGAAAATGCAAAAGCCCTCATTACTTCAACACTGCACCAACACTAAAATCTTCCTTCATAACTCAACTGTATGTCTGGTGAGATAAGGTAAAGCTTACCATGAAATACAGGACACATGCAGTCTCAACACAATACCATGAACAGTGCCAATGTAGCTGCCAAAAGAAAAAAAAAAAGGGGCAGAGAACAGATGGGAATCTCTTAATCCTCTTTTCAAAAAGTCTTCCTTGACTCCACTGTAGGTAAATCGACATCTGTTGTCTTGACTCTGTCAACTGCTGAGCGTCTCCCCTCTTCCCACATTCTCAACTGTGAGAACAGTATTGCACACCAGTTATTCAGTTGAGACAATTCCATTTCTCATTTCAAATGTAAACTTTTAAACACCTCTCTCAAATTTCATGCATGGCTACAGCATCTACTGTTTGCCAGTTAGGAAGAGAAAAGCTCACTTTGTTTTAATGTGGCCTAGCTCTCAGGTGAATTTTTTTTTTTTCCTTAAAAACATACCTCTAAGCCACCTTGGACACCAGGAATGCTGAAATTCTGGCCCTTTAGCAAACCAGAAAAATTGCTACCAAATTCAGTAGTGGCAGAAACATCAGAACATTACCTTTCAGATTCAGAAGTAATTCAGAAGTGGAATTAAGCAATACAAACACCTGCATGGCTAAGAAGCATATTATTAAGGAAAATGGCAAAAAACACCAAAAGCTGCATAACAAAATATGGAGGAACGATGCTAGGGTTGTTAAAAAGCATGACAACTTTGAATAGAAAAATGCCAGTGATTGTTCTATGAACAAGATATTGATCTAGAAAAATCTGAGAAACATATATACAGGGAAAAAAAAAAGAAACTGTAATAGATGTCAGTAAAAACATGATGCTATTTGAAGAGCAAGTCATAATGCAGAAGTATAATGTAGAATTAAAAACTACTGTCCTGAGCTACTGCAAAAACAGAAGGTACGGAACGTAATTCTGTTATTAGTAAGAAGCTGATTTTTCTTTGTGTTGCTGGAAATTTTTTTTTGTTGTTAATTAACACAAAAGTTACAGTATTTCCATAAAATGCAAGAAGTAGCATGGAAGTTATAACGAAATGAGTATGTAGTTTACATTATAAGTAGAGAACAAGAAATCCTTACCCCCTTGTCAGTTACACTCCCAAAGGATTACTGTCTTCTAAGACTCTATGTAGCAGTGCCACCTTGTGACCAATGCTATGACAATTTCATCTTAAAAAAAACCCACTGTATAATAGACATGCATTACATCAAGTAATAGAATTCTCCCTTTGTATTACACACATATTAAGGTTACTGTTTTAAAGTTAAGTATGTGAAGTACAAAACTGAAACAGAAATACCCAACTTATAAACATATTTTGTAACATAAACACTAACAACATTTGGAAGCTGGCACCTACACATAATGGACAAAAGCACAGAACTGTTCAGTTCTCACAGTTAAGTCAGATGAAATGGGATCTGACACTGCAGAAAATTGGGGCAAAGAAGAAGAAACACAGTCGGCCATCTCTAAGAAGATCATCAGCAGCCTCAGCTTTATTACTTTCTCAATAACACAAGATCCTGAGTAGAAACACGTATCAGAAACTCAGTTAAAATGGCAGGTCGCTTTTCCTCCTTCCTCCAAGAAAGTCTCTATGACAGTCAAAGTCCTCCCAAAAATCCAGAACTGGGCATACCAAAGTGCCAACCATCATCCCACTAGTCCCATGCACAACTCCAGTGCTATGAGAAAAGGTGGATAAATATGTACCGACAGTGCCGTGCGGTAGAAGCAAACATTTGAACTAAAGTCCACAGTGACATATTGTTATTTATGAAGTGATTGAGCCTCCTCTACAGGCATTAGGAAAGGAGCAATAAAGCAACATACCATGAACACTAAACCCAGCTCTAGGCACTTTGAACATCATACACAGACCTGCATAAAGCCAAATTCCTAAACAAAGTGAGGGTCCATTAAGCTAGCAGTGCCACCAAGAGTTGTATGACATTTGTAAAATTAGTGCTTACTACAGAAGAAAAAGGGAAAAAGTCAACCACAGAGTATTGGATAGGATAGGGGCTGTTGAACTTTAAGTTCCTCAGCTGCTACAATACTTCTCAAAAGATGGGGCATTTTTTTGCAGGTAGATTAAATGACTCAATTTTTTTTTTTTTATGATGTTCTGGTACTCACAAAGGCTAAGCAGAATAATCCTGTTTTCTGTAAAGTGCTGGAAACTGCCCTTTCATTGTACTCACAGTAAGAGGGTAATAAAGCACTCGTATGCTAAGGAAGAGAGCAAACAAAAAGAAGAAACAGTTCTTTCTCTCCACAAGAGCATCCCTCTATTTTATTTTTAGTGAGTCAAAGCTAGCATAACTCCTGGGATACAAATACAGTAAAAAAAATTAATAGTAATAAGGGGGGGGATGGGTAAGGTAAGTAACCTTGTTCACTGTGAAAATACTTCTGAAACACGGTTAAAGAAAGGCAGCACAATTCACTGGAAGCAAAAACCAAGTGACTTAGGCACAGTTTTTCCATTGGCCATGACCTGTAGCTAAATATATGCAGCAGTAGTGCACAGAAATGACTGGAGTCATTTATGTATTCTTTCTGTGAACCTTTTTTCATTTGTACACTAAATAACAAAGGGACTGGTGTGTTTGAAAATAATGTGGGGAAAAAAAAGTGCCACACACACTGAAGACAGAGCTGTTGCCAGGAGATTCCTTCATTAGTCCCTCCTGTGGTTTTGTTTACTGGGTAATACCCTTTCTTCTCTCCATTTTCCTTCCTCTTACCCTGTTCTGGGCAATCGTTGAAAAGAAAAACTGCACATTTGTGTCCTAAATACACATAAGGAAAGAAACCCACTTGCATGCAACACATACAGCACTTGTCTAGCTGTAATTGATACAAATATTCCTTACAGCCTGCACATAACTCTCAGCAACATTACCACTTTCTGACAGAATGACTGCAGTTGTCTGAACCTCATCCTAACTTAATAAGGAAAGAAGCTTAGGTATAGTCTGGTCTGATCCTTAACTTTACCCACAGCAGTATCATAGAATTATAAAGCCTGGATTGAAAAGGACCACAATGATCACCTAGTTTCAGCCCCACTGCTGTGTGCAGGGTCACCAACCACCAGACCAGGCTGCCCAGAGCCACATCCAGCCTGGCCTTGAATGCTTCCAGGGATGGAGCATCCACAGCCTCCTTGGACATGTTCCAACTGCACCACCCTCTGAGTAAAAAACTTCCTCCTAATATCTAACCTAAGCCTCCCTGTTCAAAACCATTCCCCCTTGTCCTATCACTATCCACCCTCATAAACTGTCATTCCCCCTGCTGTTTATATGCTCCCTTCGAGTACTGGAAGGCCACAATGAGGTTTCCCTGGAGCCTTCTCTTTTCCAGGCTAAACAAGCCCAGTTCTCTCAACCTTTCTTCATATATTCAGACTTTCTTCAGTATTTAAGAGACAGACTTCCATGCAGTAGGCTTATAACAAAAAAACAGACCATCTTTTATTTTTGTTACCTCCATGTTTAATGAATGTTTGTGAATTTACAAAAATATTTGTGTTAAACTATTTTGTCTCAATCAACAAGTAGAATTAGGAACACATCAGGAACATCCGATTCTCTTTGAAAATATTTGGCTCCTGCACATACCAACAAACAATTCAAGAGCTTGTTTGAACACGTTCATATTGCTACCCTGCCAAGTATTCGTTTTTTAAAATACAATACGTAGTTCTTCCATTACTCAGTATAGGAATTCCTACAGATACTGATCAGGACAAACCTCCAAGTTTGAGTACAGAGCCAGCTTTTAATCACATCTCCTAGGTGTCCATAAACACCTCAAAATTGTCAGACAGTTGTGCTGGTGTATCACACATGCCTAGGCAATTTCCACCCAGCCCTCCAACTTGATAAGAGTGCAGTGATGCTTCAAAAACATTCATTAGTACATCTGGAACATATAATTTGAAAAAACATAACAGTTATACTCTTCAGAAGCTGGTGTTTTTGTTTTTGGGGGTTTTTTTTTGCCCCTTGGTTATGGGCCAAACAAGAATGATAACTGAACTTTTCCTCACTATCTTTCAGAATGTACTAAACTGCTGTTTCTAGAAGCTAAGACATTATTAATGAAATCTTCCATCCAGTTCTAGAGAAGGCACAAATATTTCCAGCTATCTGAAAAACTTAAATGCACTAGAACAAATGGAAGTACTTGTAATGCTCTAGCTTTACAAAATAAAAGCACCACCAACAACAAGAAGTTCTGGAATTCTTACAGTGATTAAAACCAATTAATTCACTAGGCCACAGCACAACAATATTTTCTGGCTACAGAAGCCCTACATTTCAACTTAAAAAAAAAAAAAAAGTAAACAGTGAAAAATATCATCTGCTCCTATCACTTTTCCAAACACAGAGATGATTTTTTGCACCACATTCAAACCTTGTAATCTGATAAGGGAAAAGGTCTGAGGATAAGACTTCCAGTTTGCCATCCTGTGGCACTCTACTGACACAGTCAACAGAACAACATTCTGCTCTCCCCAGACATGAAGCAAATACCTTTGACTTCTGCAGCACAGAGGAAGGATGGCCAAAGCTTCTACTGTCTTTTGTTAAAGACAACGTTTCATTTATTTGAGATGTAAGTAACTCCAAGTACTGTTTTTATGTACTATGCATAATGCTTACAGAGTGGGAGTGTATCTCTATAGGAAGGACTGCAGTCTGCTCTGTGTTGCAGTCCATTTTCATGAGACAAAAGTGGGCATAACTTGCATCACTGATGTTCAGCCAGCTTCTAAGAAAAGTTACTAAACTATTTACGTGCATTAGAAAGGCAGATGTTCTTATGTAAAGATCCGTCCCAACAACACTGCTTCTTAGTCTGAAGCCACAGCATAAATTCCAGCAGCTTATCAGCGTGAATTGTCTCTCTTCAGATTTATCTGCCTTACTACATTACCAGCAAGTCTTGAAATGCAACAGTAGTGTTTTTTAAAGACCCTGCTATACTTCTAGTTCTAAAGGTTAAACAGAAGAAAAAAATGAAATGCAAGCATACTACCATTTATCACTCTCCCTTTGAAAATGTCCCCATTCACCTTCAGAATCAAAGTCAAAATTTTTCTGGTTAGGACATTTTCTGCGTGAGAAAGCAACGCAGTCCACCAGACTCCTGCCAAACACTTGTTGACTTTCAGTATAGTCATTTCTCTGATGTGTATGATTAATGCACTAGCCTGAACTTTTAAGCCTCTTCCCAGTTTTTCTAGTTCAGAGCACAGAGTGAGGCAGCCACATCAATATTTTAATTTAATCAGAAATCAGGCTGCTACGAAGAACATCAAGCAGAGTGCCACAGATTAGAGCTGGATTAAATACAAAGGAAAAAACACATTAAAATGCTCTGGAATTAATTTCAACTTTCTTCCTATATTTAAAACTAACCTCCAGGCTTCATTTTGGAGAAAAAAGTAGGTTTCCAGGGAAATTTAATTTTCAGAAGTCTGGGTGTTGAGAAATAAGTATTCAAAATAGTCAAGCCATTAGAACAAGTGCATATTCCATTTAAAAGAAAACTGAAAGCCTGGTGTGCAAATACCTGCAACTAACTACTTGGCATTGCTATTCTTCAAGAATAACTGTATGCTTGCCATGTGTAATTTCATATACTCCATACAGTTAATATTACTATTGATTCCAACCACATCTCAATTTTACAGACGAAACTTTAATGTGGGATTTATACTTCTCTTAGTATTTTCTCAGTCAAATTAACATTTTCACATCTTTCTGTATTCTGGAGCTAAATGTGTAGTTTCTTAAATGTAGTTTTTCACTCTCAGAGAGCAAAAAGCCTACTGTGACATTTTTCTGTACAGAGCCTGATCTTTTGTTTATCAGGATAAACAAAGCCGACCACTTTTATAAACAGAATTGGCTTCAAGTTTTCAGAAGCGAAGAAAACTTCACAGCACTGTAAGGATGACTGTGACAAATACCCACCAAAAGGATAAGGATACTGCCAGTGTTCAGCAAGGCATGTATTTGCTCTGCACAGGACATAAAGTTTACCTGATACAAATCTCTCAGAAATTTCAGTATCAAGAACAGTTCTGTTCAAACTGTTTCAAGAACAGCTGCCATTTCCTTGAACTGCCTGAAGAAGTTCTGAAAAGCAAGAATATAAATTTCAGTTGCACAAAGAAAAGCCTAAACTTCAGTGCAAACTATCACATTAGGCAAAATCACTTTATGTTTCTCACATTCCTTCTTTCTCCAATTACAATCTGCATGTTGAACTGGAAGTTTGAACATTCCTTTTTGTGAGATGGTTGCCCTCTGGATGCATTAACTATTCAGTCGTACGTATGATGAATTATTTGTATGGTTGTGCTTATTGATAGGAGAGGATGCTATGGGAAAACACTCGAAATAACTGCTAAACCTCAAAAGAAAAAAAACATAACAAAACCTAAATACTTCTCAGGCAAACACTTCTATTCCCAGTTGAAATAATCCATATTTCTCACACAGAGCAAGCATCCCTTTCTCATATCAGCTGAACAGCAAACTATGAAGTAGGTTTCAACCAGATGGAATACAAGATTTCAGAACACTCAAGAATTCATAATACCTTCCTTAAATTCCCTTCTGTCCAACTGCCAGGACTTAACCTGAGGTTAGCAATTTCACAGAATCAGAATAGTCACCATTTTTGGTAAGGCAGAGGGATGGAATTGAGGACACTTTTAGATCTGCCTTTTCTGCTAAGTCAAAGTGTAAGAGAACAAACTGCTGCCGAATTAACATTTCAGGCTAGGCGGTACAGAATTAAATGCCACAAAATAGGTACTTATCTTCAGTATTTTAAACAATTATTTAGTGTTCAGTCTTTCAATTTCCATATTAGTAAGCATCACAACTGTATATGAAGTACGCATTTGCTTTTTCACAACTATGTCACCAAAAAGACTGAATCACATGAAAAGGGATGACAGGATTACAGACCTTGAACTGTGGGACTGTCATTTCAAAACATTTGTTGGTTATTTGTCCTGAGGGGTCTGCTACTTTTAGTGTCACTGTAACATAGGGATACTTCAGAGACCTGCAGGTGTCAGAGCTCATTGCAACTCCCAGTTTCCATTTAATATCTACAAACTGCAGAGAAAAAAGTTATTGGAAAAAGTACTAAAGAAATCGAGCCTACTGTTGCTATAGTTTTGGACAGATGTTTTGATAGACAATATAGACATTCGCAGCATATCCAAATAGGAAATAAACACACACAGTCAGATATTATTCTGATCTCCTGCTCCCTTTAGTTGTGGAAAGAAAAATGATAATTTATTTCACTTAGTCTGTTTCACTTTGTAAAATACTGACAATACTCAAGAAGTTCTAGGAATAGAAGCTTAAGTCACAGAGTTCACCTGGCTTGTATATCATTTGTGTGTTTGACGTTCTCTTTAGAAGCTTCTAAATCAAATGAAAACATGAGAAAAAGCTGAGTACACAAAAATTTCACAGAAGCAATAACTGAAAAAAATGAAGCTGTAAGTAACTGTTCTTTATATAGAATATTGTAAACACATTTCAGACTGAATAAGTTATCTTTTTTACCCTTCCATGACAGGTAGAAATATTTAACAAAGAAATAAGGTGAGCTTTCAGAAGCTTACTATCCAGCTTCAAACAAAGACTTCTTTTTCCTCATTATTTTTTCTAATTTCATACTCTTAACTGTTGGTGTTAAGAAAAATCTCAAAATGCATATGAACACTTATTTTTTTCAACAAATAAAAGAAATGCTGGAAATTGACAGAAGTTATCTTTAAAATAAAGCTTAAACTTAAGGGAGACAAAGAATAACGGATTCAAGTGCTGATGCTATCAACTCTAAAGAATAATTCAAATAACATTTACATAATTAGCTAGTACTATTGTCTGCCATGCTGTCACTCACCTTCCCTAACAGCACTATGAAATGTATATTTATCATTCAACCAAAAATATGAGACAGGATTTCAATGTCCTTTATTGTATATATTTCTCTTAACTTGTCAAAAATCTGGCAACAAACAGCCAGCAAACTTCTGGGCAATCAAGGCACTGCTTTGTGCTTGACAACACAACAGGCACAGTGAAGCACTGCCAATTCTGAAAAATCATTAGTTCACATGCACTGTATTGTGTAGTTACCTGGCCCACTGTGGTCATATTTCCTTTATCTTCTGACACATCAACAGATTTGCCCTGCTCATTCCATACGTGACGAATAACCTGTATCGCATGTTTAGGCAGCGTGTTGACCGTGCTGCCCAAGGCAGCGATGAGCTCCTCCGTAGAGAGATTGTTCCTGGCTGCTGTGCTGTAGGAAAATCCAAACAACACGTATCTGTTTAATTCTCCAAGAATTTAAGACTATTAACCAGTATTATTAACTTTGAAATGTAGCAGTTTAATTAAACATTTAGGAGAAGCAATTTAAGAAACACCAAGAGGTATTTAAGGACCTTCAGGCAATGGTATAATTTGCACTAACAGGAGTCAAATGATGCAATAAACTGCCAAATGAAAAGGCAGTGAGTCTAGAGGAAAGGCCGCAAAAAGCACTACTCAATTAACTCCCATGAAAACATCAAGCAAAAAAAAAAAAAAAAAAGAGGGAAAAGCACTCTGGTTCCAAAGCTTACAGACAGGTTCTAAGAAGAACAATTGCCACTCTATTTTTGTAGTTACTGAGTCTATATACGTAGGTACTACGCTTTTTTAACCTTATGAACACAAACTAAGCCCTTTTCCCAAATCATTTTATTTCATACATGCTTTGGATGTTATGTTGTAACATTGCTATTAGGTTAATATGAAGGGGGAAAAAAAAAAAAAAAAAGGAAGATAAAAAAAATATAAATTATTGTGTGCTTACCTAAACAAAAAGGACACAGTGTTAGTTATTTTTGCCAGGTCACCAACATTAACCTCAATCCCAGATGTCTGCAGTCTCTGAAGACAGGATGATCAAATAATTAAGTGATATCAACTTCTGATATTAAAAATTTTCTTATAAATACATACATATACACACACAAATAATTTGACCTGCAGAATGCATACATCACAATACATACCACTATTATGCTTGCTTTTAAGTGCTAATATCCAAACTTACCTGACACAGTTCAACTGTATTTACACCTGGGATCTTATGGTTAAGATGTTGAATTATCTGCTCACACTGCAAAGAAAATAAATTTGAAAATATTTTCAAAGCATGTTTTAATTAACTAGATGAGCAAGTCTGAAAAAAAATCATAGAATGGCCTGAGTTGAAAAGGCCCACTGTGATCATGTAGTTTCAACCCCTCTGCTATGTGCAGGGTCACCAACCACCAGACCAGGCTGCCCAGAGCCACATCCAGCCTGGCCTTGAATGCCTCCAGGGATGGGGCATCCACAGCCTCCTTGGGCAACCTGTTCCAGTGCATCTGGAACTGCCCCTGTCTCAGTTTAAAACCATTCCAGTCCCCCTTGTTCTATCACTATCCACCCTTGTAAACAGTCGTTTTAATACTTGGAGATTACAACAGCAACAAAAACTGGTTGACATAAAAATGGACAACAGGATGAGGTTTTAAATGGAAAATGAAGAATAAGGTCATGTAAGCAACTGAAATCAAAATCAAACCCAAGAAAAGTCAACTAATTCAGAACTTTTCAGTATTACCTCACATTTTGTTTCTTAACATGCCATTTTCATACTAATGAATAGCTGTCTTCTTCAAGCGCACAATGCTTTATGACACAGAGAAGCTGAATTTTTTTCTGGACTATTGAGCTCTATATCTCATTAAGACAACAAACAAAACCAAAACCTTAAGTATCTTCAGTAATGAAAACAAACTTTTAGCCATCACTCTGCTCTGGTAGGACTGGTCTATTTCATGTAAACCTACATCATACATACATAAGTTCCACTCTGCAACATGCAGAAAGCAGCGAGCTGAAGGAGGTTTGCTGAAATCTGTGTGCCTGAAGCCCTTCCATATCCCCCTTATGGTTCTACTTACTAGTTCTGCAAAGAAGTCTTGAGGTATCAAACTAATCTTATCTGCTGCACCACCAACATCTGAAAAACACAAACAGTAGTGACCAGAAGCAAGTCCTTTGAGCTTTATTAGCAATAAGTCATCTTTGTAGAAGTCATAGGCTTGCATGGTTTTATTTACCTCAAGAGCAGAGCTTTATTTAACAGGCTTCATCCTGAATTACATTAACAGATCAGGAATGGGAATAACAAATACCTCAGAAACCCAAGCAGAGCCCACGCAATTGGACAGTTTGTCAGTCCTACCGTCAAACAAAAAATCCCCTTCCGCAAAAACTTCCCAGAAAGCCGGGCAGGCCCAGGGCTGCCCTCGGGCACTGAGGACCAGCAGCAACGAGCTGCTGCCCCCGAGCTCAGCTCACCGCAGCCGAGAGAGGGACCCTGTCCGGACCTCCTCCGGGCAGCAGGGACCCCCCATAAGCCGCTGGAGGAGCATCAGTCTCCCCAGGGCCCCTCGGAAACAGGCCGCACCGCTACCTGAGGAACAGGCTCTCATCGGCGCGACCCACCGAGAACAAGGAGCCCCCAGTCGGCCTTCCCGCTAACCCACAGACCCGGGGCTGGGCTCTTCCCTACTTCCCCTCAGCTCCAGTCCCCTCACCCAGCGCCTCCAGAGCCCGCGTCAGCAGCACAGCGGAGCCAGCAGCCATAGCACCGCGATCCCGACAACAACCCACATCCGCCACACAGCGTTCGGCGCTCTGATTGGCTCCGAGCGAGACGGGGGCGGAGCGGGGCAGGCGGCTGAGCAGGACGCATGCGCTGTCTTCTCGGCGCCAGGCTCAGGGACGGTGGGGTTTGTGTGTTGGCGCCTTTTCAGGCTCCTGCTCGCTGGGCGTCGCCCAATAGGCTCAGGGCAGGCATGGGGGGGGAGCTTGGGGTTCTCCTAGAATTATAAAGTCGTTAGGTTTGGAAAAGGCCACTGAGATCATCTAGTCTAACTGCCAATCCATCATTACCATGCCCACTAACCAATGTCCTTTAATGCCATATCTGCATGTTTCTTGAACACCTCCAGGAATGGGACATCCATAGCTTTTCTGGGCAGCGTGTTCCAGCACCTCACTGTTATCACAGTGAAAAACGTCTCCGACATCTAATCCAAATCTTCCCTCTTAGTTCAACCCCTCCTCCCCTCTCCTTGTCCTATTGCTATCTGCCCATGTAAAAAGTTGATTTCCCTCCTTTTTATAAGCTCTCTTTAAGTACTGGAATGCCGCGTTGAGGTTTCCCCTGACTTCTCCATGCTGAACAAGCCAAGCTCCTTCAGTCTGTCTTTGTAGAAGTGGTTCTCCAGCCCTTTGAACATCTCTGTGGCCTTCCCTTGGACCTGCTCCTCCAACTTGATGTCTTTTTTGTCCTGAGGGTCCCAGACCTGGACGCAGTATTCCAGATGGGGCCTCACAAGGGCAGAGTAAAAAGGGACCATCTCCTCCCTCTTCCTGCTGGTCCCCCTCTGTTGATGCAGCCTAGGATACTGTTGGCCTTTCTGTCTGCAAGTGCACACTGTTGGGTCATGTTAAATCTTTCATCTAGCAGGACCCCTATGTCTTTCTCAGCACAGCTACTCTCAAAGTGTTCTTCTCCCAGTCAGTATAAATATCAGGGATTGCCATGATCAAAGTGCAAAACCTTGCACTCGGGCTTGTTGAATGTAATTATGTTCACATGGGCCCACTTTTCAAGCCACTTCTAGTCCTTCCTTCTGTTGTGTCAACTACATCACACAGCTTGGTATCATCAGCAAACTTGCTGGGCATGCACTCAATCCCATCATCTATGTCACTGATAAAGATTCCAACGGGTTCCAAGACAGACCCCTGTGGGGCACCATTCATCACTAGCCTCCACCTGGACACAGAACCATTTACCAAAGCCCTCTGGCTGCTACCTTCCAACCAATTCCTTATCCACTGAATAGTCTACTCTGATATCATCACTTCATCATAGGATGATTGGTGAGGCATGATTTGCCCTTGGTGAAGCCATGCTGTCTGTCTCAGATCACCTACTTGTTCTTCATGTGCCTCAATATATATTCCATATCTGTTCCATGATCTTCCCGGGAACAGATTGGTGAGGCAATTTCTGCACTAATCACACATGGTTGATGCAGCAGGCTATTAATTCCATTTAGTTTGTTATTAACCTGCACTGGATTTTGTTTGTATTCTCCAGGGATTAACAGTATTGGGTATATTAATCACGTGCTTTTGAGTTTGTGTGCAGAACATAGGGTGTACTAGGCTTGTTACAGATGCATCTAGCAACTATGCTTTATGCAGGTGGATCATTGAATCTGGTCATCTGTGAGTGAACTGCAGTCCACGAATGATTTGCATAGGTCAAGTGGGTCTTCAGCTCAATGGGAAAATAGACAATATAAAACTGCAGCTAGAACCATCTTTAGCGATGTTTCTCGCTGAATGCAGTAAGTTTAGTGTGCAAGTGAAACCCTAAAACAACACTGATCCTTCAACAGTGCCAGTTTTTAACAATAGTAAATATACTTAGATTTTTTTCCTAGTAAGCAGTTTACTTTTTAGCTTTTTTTTTCTATGTTATAATGCTACAGTTTTGTTAGATCCACAGTAAGACTGTTTGTGACTGATGAGTAAAATGTAACTCATCGCACAGTATTGCTGCCTAGTTTAAAGTTATCTATTTCCAGTACATTTAAATGAAATAATTTAGAATATATTTCAAGCAACAGGAAATTATTGTGCAACATGATATGTGTGTTTGTGAACTTCATACATTAAGGCACGTAGCCTCTCCCTTTTAAAGTATCTAATTAAAGTGTCAAAATACTTTTGAGAAATATGTGTTTTTATGACCTCATGACTGTCAAAACACTTGTGATGTTCATGCAGGTAAGATCTGCCTGTGATAGCAGGGACATGACTTAACCATCTTTTTGTTCTTAACTTAGTTAACTATTAGATACTTGTCTGTGTTAATACTTCTGTGTTACTGAAGTTTACACACTATTTATATTAGAATTTAATCAAGTGTCTCACTAGTGCCTTTAGCAATATGACTAATATTTGTTATTTTTCATTCATTTTTCCAAGATATGGAAATAATGTGAAGTTGAATGTGATGGTTCGGTAATTATAGAATTACTCCAAATCATTTGCTGAAAATTTGTTTTGGGGTTATTTTCATAGATACAGAATCATGTAATGCCCTCATTTGGAAAGGACAAGACCAACTCCTGGCTCTACAGAAGACTACCTAAAATCCAAACCCTATGTGTAAGAGCATTGTCCAAACACTCCTTGAACTCTGGCAGCTTGGTGCCATGACCACTGCCCTGGGGAGACCGTTCAGTGCTCAAGCACCCTCTGGTGCAGAACCTTTTCCTGATGCAGCTCCATGCCATTCTGTAGTCTGCCACAAGGCCTCCCCTCAGCCACCTTTGCTCTGGCCTGAACAGACCTCAGCTGCTCCTCACACATCTTGCCCTTTGGACCCTCATCATCTGTGTAACTCTCCTTTGGATGCTCTCTGATAGCTTTCCGTCCTTCTTAGATTGTAGTGCCTGCACTTTACAGTAGATCCTCACCTTGCAGGTGAGTGTGTCAGCACAGAGCAGAGCAGGACAACCTCTGTCCTCACCTGGTGGCTGTGCTGGTCCCGATGCATCCCAGAGTATGGCTGTCCCCTTTGGCTGCCAGGGCACACTGCTGACTGTTTTACACCAGCACCTCCAGATCCCTTTCTGCATGACTGTTCGCCAGCTCCGCACCCCCAGTCTATATGGACATCCTGATGCAAAATCCAGTGCTTGCTGTTGTTGAACTCATGCACTTGGTGATTTCCCACCCCTCCAATTTGACAAGATCTCTCTGTGAGGCTTCTCTGTTCTTCAGGGAGTCAACAGCTCCTCTAATTCAGTATTGTCTGCAAACATATGCGTAGTTCTTTGAATTTGGAGAAGCAGGTGGTTAAGTATTTAATGATTTCAGGTAGCAGTCCATCCACAGTATTAACTTGTGTTTAGACAGCTTTGCCTTTTGTAAATATAATTTCTGAAGCTCTGTGTGGCAGAGGAAAATAGGTAACGGCAGTGACTGCAAACTGAGAGTAAAGGCCCATCTTCTAGATAGAAAAGGAGTGAGAGCTGAATGTGAGGAGACACATTGTATAGAAAGAGACAAATCTCATGAGACAGCAATAGACTGGATTGCTAAAGAGATGCACTATGATGTTATTTATAGGTCAATAGAGAATGTTCAGGCAAAGGCATGTAGCAATAGTCCTGCTTACTAGTAACAGGGGTAAAATAAAAACTAGGTAATTTACTCCATTTCACAACTGTAATGTACAGAATAGGGCACTATTTACATCAGCCCTCACTAAAGAACTACATGAAGTTCTGCATATAGCTCTTCAGATAGAAGGCAGAAAGCATTTCTGGTACCAGCTGCATTTCTCCAATGCCAGGGCCTCAGCTGTGTGGTGTCTATAACCCCTGCCTCTCCTGGCCTCCTGTCACCTTGCTACTCTGTCTCTGCAGTAACACTGCTCTCATTATACTCCCTGTTGTGGGATTGTGGTTTGCCTGTAAGCTGGCACAGCATCTCTTTGCTACGCCCTGTCTGCTCACTCTGGGCGTAAGCACAGCTCAGCCACTGGCATTCTGCTCTCTGAATCTCTTTATGGCAGTGAAAGCTGGATGGGCCTAGGAGTCTGGATTAAGGCTATCATAAAAAGTTTTTCCAGGCATCCACCCCGTGAAGTGAATGTGCAGCTGCTCGCTCGCACTCTGACCCCATGATTACGAGCAGGTGGCAGTTCCCTTGCAGTCCACTGAAGGGACATTGGTGTCGCTGCTTTTTCTACTTACAGCTTCTTGCCTCCCACTGGCTGCCTGATGGCAGTGCTCCAAGCAGAGGGCAGGAGGTAGGCACCCTGGCTACCAGCACTCCATCCATCTTTCTATATTATACTTCGCTTGATCTTAGCCAAAAGGGCAAAAAGTGACCATATATGCTTCTGGGGTGGGAAGACCTGAGAGGATTCACAGCTTTAGAAGAGAAAATGGAGCTCAATGCCGGAGTGAGGCAACTTGCTGCCACTGCTTTGAGTGCACCGTAAAACAGGTTCCCTTTGAACCATTTAAAAAGTCCCACTATCCTCTGCTGCATGTCTGCGAATGTGCGAATGTGTTTTCTTGAACACTGTTCTTTTCAACTCCGCATTCCTTTTCTTACGGGTTTGCCCTGCTGATGAACACGCAACCGCGGAACTGCGGAATGGACCTTAAAGACCATTCCGTTCCAACAGCAGCTGCTGCCGCCGGGCTCCAAGCGCTCTCTGGGCGGAGCGGGGCGGGAGGCGACTGTGGGGCGCAGCGCCGTGAAGGCGCCCCCCCGTGGCAGCCGCTCGCTGCGCAGGTTCCAGTGGGAGGGAGCACGGGGCGGGGCGGCTGAGGCACCACCCTGTGTCCCTCTGGGAGAATCCATTGCTGGGGGGAGCCGACGGGCGAGCAAGGGGAAATTTTGTGGCCGTTGTTGTGTGGGAGTATCCGCTGGGAAAGGCGTTCAACGGGTTGCCGGGCGTCTCGCTCGGCTGTTCGGCAGGGCGGGCAAGCTGTGCGTGGGGGTGCGGGAGGGCTGCTTTCCCCTGCGGCTCCCCCCGGTCTCCGTCGGCCCGGTGGCGCGGCCCCGGGTCAGCGCTGAGGCGAGGAGGCGCCGGGCGCTGTCAGCATCGTGCTGCCCGCCGCCATGGAGCCGCATCGCTGGCTGCCGCTGGAGGCCAACCCCGACGTGAGTGCCGCGGGAGGGTGACTGGAGATAGCGGTGGGGAGAAAGGGAGCTGACCTGGAAGGGAGGGAGGGCTGGCGGCGTGGAGGTGCTGGGTTTGGCCGTGGGGGTGCTGGTGGCTGGGGGTGGGTGCCAGCTCTCAGGCTCCACTATGCTCGTAACCCCTCTCCGTTTCTTCTTTTTTTTTCAGGTCACCAATCAGGTAAGCGCCTTCTCTCGGAGGTATCGCGGTTCCCCTGCGGCTCAGGCACGTCGCTTTTCATTTTCGTATAGCAGAGGCTCCTGTCTCCCCAACGAGAGGAGGGCTTCCGCCTTCTGGTGCCGGGCCTTCGGGAGCCTCCTGGGAAAGCTGTGTGTGCGTGTGTGCAGTGTGGTTAAGGACCCTTGTAAAAGGTGCAGAGAACACGTGTGTTCTGTAGCGGGGAAGTGGTCAGGCTGTTAACGTAAGGTAATCCCTGTTGTGGATGGGGTGAGGGTGGGTTTTGCCTTACTTTTAGTTACAACGTTATTATAGATTTATATACCAGTTTTGGTTATGCATATGCTGACTTTGTGGGCTAGTATGGCTCTGCATACATTCCAATATTGTAGTCTTCCTCTTTGACTGATAATAAGAAATGATATATTTTACAGTATTTACACTTACTCATGACTATATCAGCATAACTAGTTACACTTGGTTTTTCCAGCACAGTAGCCACACTTGAGAAAGGAAATGTGGCTTATCTGGCACTTACAGTCTTTTGTGAACACAAGAAGGGAAAATACTCATTCTGCAGCCATGCATTGCACTCAGCCTTTATTCTGAATATCTTCAACAAGTACAAGAGGTCAGATGTTGATCCCAGCAGGCTTATTGATTTTGCTGCAGATGTCTTTGAGCCAAAAGATTATGAAGCTTCCAGCAGTAAGGTGATGTTCTTAGAACTAATTTTATGATTCTTATATTGTTACTGCCATGGAGCAACTAAAGAATTTTTTAATCCCAGCTTTGAGTTAAAATTAGCCACCCCTGCTGTGAGCTTTACTTTCCTTGATTCAGATTTTTAAAAACTATTGAAATTCAGACATTAAATTCTAATTTGGAAGAAAATAATTATGAGTGAGTGCTAGAGAAATTACAGTACTACTGGTCTTTTTTCTCACTTTCCGATGCTGGGTGAGTTAATTGTGGTACGAATAAAGTCTTATCAGCTGTACATTAGAAATCAAGGAGGAAGAGGAAGTAACTTTTTTCCAACTCTTGTATAGTTGTCTTGTTGCTATATGGAAAAAATCCTGCAAGAATGTTAAAGAAAATGTTTTCTCAAAGCCTCCTTTGCTCATAGGCTTTGCATCCATGACAGATGATATCAGTTCATTGTGGAGGATCATGGATAAGTGAATTTTGCTTCACACGGATTTTCTTGCTAGTATTTATCTTTAGATAAGTTAGGTTTTTCTCTCTTAATGTGTCTTTCCAGCCTTAACTGAGCAACAGTTGTAGTTATTTAGAATTTTAGACTGAGGCATATCTTCTTCTACTGGGAAGAAAAGAAGAAGAAAAAAAGAAAAAACTAAAGATCTCTCTCTATTGAACAGGAGTATACTTTGCATCATTAATCATGTTTTTTTTTTTTAATCTTATTTTTATATTGGTAAACTGTATAACAATGTGACTGTTAGTCACCAGTTACTCATATCCCACATGTGTTTAAAACAATAATGATAGTAATTTGATATTCAGATGAAGTTACAAACACATCTTAAACTAATCCTGTTAACTGCAAGGACAGATTCTGTTTGGGTTTTTTTGGGAGGTTCGGATGTGTGTCGCTTTGTACTCTATAATAGAATTCTTAAGGATGAAAGTAATATGGGATATTTCATATGGTTGTTGTTTGTGTGTCAAGAAATAAGTTAATGCGCAGACCTGTGGATCTCTATCCACATGCTTCTTTGTGGTTTGTTTTTCCTGCTTGTTTACGTGTGTTTTGAATTTTTAATGTTATTTTATTTAACGTTTAATGTTATTTATTTTACTTTAGTATTAGAGTGTCATTAGAACATACTGCTCACGTTAATGTTGATACTGTTGTAAGGTGTGATAGTGAACTTTTAAACAGAGCTCCATAACTATAACATGCATGGATTCTTAAGTGTGTCATAGTTTTACGATTTTTGGTTATTGGTATTCCACATCATGACATCATTTAATTGGGAATCATGAACTGGGAATTAAACTGTTAATGCTCCAGTTCTGAGCACTTGTTTGGAAGAGAAGAACTACATACCCAATGGGCTTTGCAGTCAGAGAGGAGATACAACCCCTGGCAAGGTCACCTGAAGTACTCTTCTTCATCAGGCTCTCCTCCCTGCTGCTCAGCTGGACTGCGCATCTCACCTCAGCTTTATGGTGAGGCTTATCCACTTTTTGAACACTCTCCCATTATATTTGATTCATTAGCTTCAATTCTAATTACACTCTATTATAGAGTGTTATCTTGCATTCCGATACCATATTTAGTAAATTATTTTTGTTTCTCCTCAGATTGTTGCCATTGTTTTTAATTATTTTGGGGTCCCCTGTTTCCCTTTTCCGCAGGTGTGGATTTTGCAAAATCCTTCTGCCCTGCTAGTCATGGAACTGGAGTGAACCAGCCCATAAACAATTGCCTAAGTGTTACATTGTGATCAAAACTCCTTTGTATGTAAGCCCTTCTTCTGTTGGTGGAGAATGTGGGCAAAAGCTGCCTTTTAGCTTTTAGAGAGCTTCCTTGGAAAAGTTTACCTCTTTCACAGGTGTTCACTGAAAAACTTGACCTTGAAAGTCTAGGCAGACTGCCACTATTCTGGGATATTTGTAAACTTTGAGCACTGCTATCTTCCTTCTGTAAAGAGAGGAAAAAAAAAAAGATTCCTCTTTCTCTTTTAAACCTGTTTGCACACGGAGCTGCTAATTTTACGGAACTTGTGACTTTTAAACAGGTTCCAGTCTCTCCTTTGAATCCTTTATGCATTTTTTGAATGCTCATCTGATCTCACTGTTAATCTCCCTGAATATACTGTTCATCATTTTACTCAGTATTTGTATTTATCGTATTTTGAGGAAGCCTTCCCTAAAACCAGAGAATACTGAGTGGCAGGGAGTGTGGAGAGGTTTGGGAGAGACTTTAGAGAGATGGACATCTTTGGTGTGATGGAACTTTACTCCTGAGCATCTGAGAGAGCTTAAACAGATATTTGAGACAGGGATGTTGTGGCTCAGGCAGATCTGAGGAGGCATAAATGATTTGGGGCCTGGCTAATGCTTATCGGGCCTTATTCAATACTATCCCAGAGAGGGAGAGAGTTTCTGAAATTGAGAGAGAGTCTCCATGCTGAAAGGGAGAATCTCCAGGTCTAGAAACAGAATCTCCAGGTTGAGAGTTTGCACGGGAGTCTCCGAGCTGAAAGGGGCACTCTCTGGGAGACAGTACTAAATAAGCGAGAGTCTCCAAGCAGAGGAGTGTTCCCAGGAGAGACTCCAACCTGAGAGGGAGAATCTCCAGGTCCAGAAAGAGAGTCTGCTATTCAAGAAGCAGTGTCTCCACGCTGAGACAGAGAATCTCTGGATTGAGAAAGATTCTCCTAGTCAGGAGAGAGAATCTCAAAACCTGGCAAGAGAGTCCCTAAGCTGAGAAAGAAAGTCTCTCAGAAGGGAAGATCTCTGAGCTGAGAGAAAGTATCTCCAATCTTGACGAGACACCTTTGAATCCAAGCGAGATCCCTTCAATCCAAACTCAACAGCCTTCAAACTGAGTGAGACACCCTCAAATCTGAACTAAATACTCTCATAATCAAACGAGACGGACTCTGAGCCAACCTAGACAGTGAGAGCATCAGAACTGACCAACCTGATCAATCATAGGAGGCACAACAATTGATATCACTTGCCCCTGTACAAGGACATAAGATGAAATGAATCTCGATGCAGTTAGAACTGAAAGAGGAGGGAAAATAAAGGAAACAGCCTCTGTAAGAGTAGAGGAGGAAAGATGTCCAGAGGAGTGGCTCTGAGATCTGGAGAAGTGCCCCTGAGTCCAGTGGAGGGGCCCTCTGTAAGACTGCAGTCACCAGCGCCCAGGAGGGCAACAAGAAGTCCTGGAAGAGTAAGAGGGGGCAAGACATTGTTGACTGATCTCTGAAAATGAATGAAATTAGAAGTCTTAGAAAAGACTTTTCACGTCACCCAAATGAGCCTATTGTTACCTGGTTACTTTCATGTTGGGATAATGGGGCCAACAGTCTGTGGCCTGATAGTAGAGAAGCTCACCAACTGGGTGGCACTGCTAAGGACTCAGTCATTGATATAGGTGTTAGTACATGCCAGAACCAGGCCTTCACCCTCTGGAAGTGGATGTTGTTAGCCGTAGAAGAAAGATAACCCTTCAAGATGATCTGATGCCTGAGGAAAAAAAAAATGGACTGATACGGAAAAAGGCATCTGTTATTTCAGAGAATATACTGTGATGGAAATGATACATAGCCCCACTTTCATTCCTAATGAGCCAGACCAAGAGCATGATCCTGAGGGAGTCAGGTATACACCAAATATGTGGTGTGTATTCACAAGGACAGCACCAGAAAGGTATGTCAGTGTGTCAGAAAGGTATCTGCAGCAATGTATGGCAGAGGGAAAAGAAGACCCCTTATAAATGAACTGATTAATACACTTCAAGACTTGAGTTACGTTTAAGCCCTCTATGAGCTTGTGTTTCAGCCATTGCAAAAGTAGCTGAAAAGCTGAACAGAATGGAGAGCAAACAAGAAGATACAATAGACAAACTGTCTACCTTGCTTAATGCTAATGGATCCATGGTGGTACCAGATAGATCCAATGGGGATCAGGATTCCCAAAACAGCCTACTCGAGAGGCTGATCAACTTGGTTTCCTCCCAGCTTGCATCATCCAACATCTCAGCTATCAAAATAAGATGTCTTCCTGCTCGAGCAAGTGACAACAGTAAGACTGCATCTTACTGTTGGAATTACCTACGTGACCATAGAGAAGGTATGAAGAAGTAGCATAAATAACCTACTCCTGTGCTTCAAGCACGGGTAAAGGAATGACAAGACAAATCAACCACCAAGGTGAACTTCTCCAAAAAGGTGATTGCTCCAGTTGCTACAGACAACTGAGATAACAAATAGAGGGGCCCTGCCCTTAGCTGGGGACGGAGG